CATTTCAGAATATTACTTCAAAATGTAATTTAATAAAATTAGGACAATAATTTAAAGTGCTATCTTTGTGTTGCCAAAATCTAATATTAATTTAAACTTGTATACTGAATCTATTTCATTTTTTATATATATGTATTTTAATACTTTTATTATTGTTTAGAATGAATCACAGAAATCACAGAATTGTAGGTGTTGGAAGGGACCTCCAGAGATCACCGAGTCCAACCCCCCTGCCAAAGCAGGTTCCCTACAGCAGGTCGCACAGGTAGGCATCCAGGCAGGTCTTGAACATCTCCAGAGAAGGAGACTCCACCACCTCCCTGGGCAGCCTGTTCCAGTGCTCCGTCACCTCACTGTAAAGAAGTTCTTGCGCACATTTGTGCAGAACTTCCTATGCTGCAGTTTCCGGCCGTTTCCCCTTGTCCTGCCTCCACTCACCACTGAAAAGAGTCTGGCCTCGCCATTCTGCCCCCCACACCTTAGATATTTATAGACCTGGATCAGGTCCCCTCTCAGTCGTCTTTTCTCAAGGCTGAACAGACCCAGTTCACTCAGCCTTTCCTCATAGGAGAGATGCTCCAGGCCCTTCACCATCTTTGTGGCCCTCCGCTGGACTCTTTCCAAGAGATCCTTGTCTTTTTTGTACTGGGGAGCCCAGAACTGGACGCAGTACTCCAGATGAGGCCTCACCAGGGCAGAGTAGAGGGAGAAGATCACCTCCCTTGACCTGCTGGCCACGCTCTTTTTAATGCACCCCAGGATGCCATTGGCCTTTTTGGCCACAAGGGCACACTGCTGGCTCATGGCCAACCTGTCTTCCACCAGGACACCCAGGTCCCTTTCCGCAGAGCTCCTCTCCAGCAGGTCATCCCCCAACCTGTACTGGTGCATGCAATTATTCCTCCCCAGATGCAAGACTCTACACTTGCTTTTGTTAAACCTCATCCAGTTTTTTCCTGCCCATCTCTCATCATGGAGAAGATTTAGAAACAATCTGGAAAGGAGTTGAATTTAGCTGACATTTCTTTATAAATTCTTTCTGTTGCATAAGATGCCACTCAGTTCTACGAATATCACAACAAACTACAAGCTTTCTCTATTCCCCTAGGAATGAATATAGATAACAGTGACACAAACTCCTGTTAAAAATGCTTTTGCATGCAGAAAATTATTCAGTTCACTGGAAGCGTCAATGGTAATTTAAAAAGAAATAACAGGATTGGCTATTTAAGAATTAGATGATAGCAACTGTTCTCAGTAAATGACTTCAGGAACAATGGAGGTAAGGCACATGCAAAAAGTGATTCAGAAGTGGGCAAGAGACAGCCACATGGCTCCCACAGAGTTTTTACCAGAGTATGTTTATGGCTTTTGTAAAAGCAAATCCATTGCCAAAGCTGTAACTCAGCTTTCATTCAGAGGACTTTTCTTCCCATCCAGCTGTCACAAGAAAGCACCATGTAATTTTAAGCTAGAACTAAATTTTAGAGAAATGAAGTCAGGAGGAGAGGAGAGGGAGAAAGAGAAGAAGAAAGGAAAAGGACTATCATGTTTCCAAGGACAAGCAATTTTATTTATCAACACTGGCCAACTATTTTACTTCCAGAGATTAAAAGTTCTGAGGGCTTGAGATAGGCTTTGACCGTGTCAAAATGCACAAAGCTGTATAACTTCACTCAGATGAGGTCAGATAATTTTATCTGGTTTCTACAAACCCATTTCTTGCCTCTTCTTCTCCTCTGTACCATGCCTCCCACATAGCATTTGCACTTTCTACCACTGCAGCAGGCAATAAAACTCCCTGTTCCTCTCCTACTGTCTCCCAATGAAAAGAAGCAGCTTTAGGTGAGCATTACATCCCTTGTGCCGTACTGGCTGTTGGTCTGAAAACAGACCCTTGGTACTTACACATGGACCATGCAGCTGATCTGAACACTGGGAGAGCTCCTGCAAACCATCCACAGCACTAATATCAACTGCAAGGAGAGAGCCAAGGGTGCAGGTTTCATTCCTCTTTCAGCTCATTAAAAGTAAAATTTTGATGCGTCTGAATTGTCTGGAGTGCTTACAATAGAACTGGTCTTGTTCTGTCAGGATTTTGAGTGACGGGATTTGGGTTTATAAATCTGACTGTTGTTTTTTGTTTAAAGACAGTAAATATCAATATATGCACTTTACAACAGGAAACTGAGCCACAGAGCCACAAATTGACCTTGATCACTTTGATAGGTAAGAACAACGCTTTATATCCCTGCAGTAAAACCAAGGGAAGAATGAATCCAGGTTTCCTGAGTCATGGTTTAACAGGCCACACTGGCACCACAGTACTAATGTACTACTCCCACTGTGCCTTCAACACAGCTCTCAATAAGAGCTGGAATGACTGGTCACCAAAATGAGGTGACAAATACACTATGTCTCTATTACCCTATTTCAGCTCGAATGTTTTCCTATCACAGGGATTTCTTAACACATTAAAGAGATTTCAGAACAATGCCATTTCCAATTTTCTCCAACTCATATTCTTTCTCTACATCACTCAAGTGTTAGAAAGATGTACCTACCTCTGTCTCAACTTATCCCTTTCTTTTTAGCTCTGTCTCCCTTATCTGCATGGCTTTCTCTTCTTACCAATTTTTTTTTTCTATTTTCTTCCTGCTTCCATTTCTGCACTCACTGAAAACACACCCGTTTGTCTCAAGAAGTCTGCAGCATCACCATGAGGGTTGTCTCCGCATCACTGAGGATACAAAAATCTCACTCCTCCCTCATCCCTGGAGATATATGAACACCAGCTCTCCAATCTGGGGAAGAGCAAAGGTCTGTGACACAGCCCATCCCTCCAATAAATGATCTGTTATGATCACATAGGAAGCATACTTCGGCTATTTGAAAGAATTCTTTTCATCTTTAGTAAGCCACGTAATTACACAATTTGCTTCCTTATCACAACTGAACATTCATGTGCCAGTAGTGGGTGTTGGTCAAAACAGCAAAGGGAGTAGGAGCCAGGCCTGTGCTGCCTGCCAGTCCAGTAGGTATCAGGAGGAAGGATTTGGGTTTGGAGACATGAGAAACAGTAAAGAGAAGACTCCTACAAATATAGTGTTCCTGTTGGTAAAGACAAGCCATTGCTCCATCTTAAAATTTCTGTTAGCTGCAGGAAAGTCAATTTGGGATGGCTCGGGGACACGATTACCCCCTTCCTGCTTTGTCTTTGCAGACCTTGGCTTTCCACATAAAGCATCAGTGCAATCTGCATTTTTCAATGGGTTATGAAAACTCATCTTGAGATGCACTTGTGAAGAGAGAGAATGAGTGGGAAAGAGAAAGGAAATTAAAAATTAGGACAGAAATGAAAATACACTCTTGCATGAACATTTGGAATCTTAAATGTTCCATACTGAATACAATTAAATTTGTAATGTAATTACAGTGTATTTAAGACTAAAGAAGGATCTGGCGGAGAGGAAGCCAAAGCTAGCTAGACCTTCATAAAAATAACCTTAGGAGGGTAATAGAAAAAGATAGAAAAAGAAATACATACAAATCAATATGATCCATCCATGCTGACTTCCAGGGCTCTGGATAAGTTTGAATTTTCTTCCATTGCTTGGACTGGCAAATCAGCACTGTACTGTTAAAAGATTGATGGCTTAGAAAACCTCTGCCTATGGCACTGTACATGTTAAGATTGGAGTCTCTCTTCTTGCAAAAATAAATTAAATATTTACTCTGGATGAAGAGTAAAACAGCTTGATGAGATATAAAAACTGCAGCATCACAAAGATGGAGCAAACCTGTTACCCTGCATTGACCACGGGAATCTTTATTTATTGAACTGACTTTTAAATGAGATTTCACTTTCATTTTTCAAGATATTCACCTGGTTCTAAGACATCTTTCATAAAGTACATCATCAATAACTTCACTGATTCCAGTTAACTCCTCCCATACCAAGTCTGGCAGAGTTATTTCATCATTCTGCAACTGCTTGACATTTATCATGCACACTTTGTTAACAAGATCAACCCGCAATCCCACCATTTTTCTTCCTATGTTCAAGGTGATTTCATTTATTGATCAAATACACCACACGCCCACCAAAAAAAAAAAAAAAAAAAAAAAAACAAACCAAAAACCAGAGTTTTTTGCAAGATTCATATAAAATATGATGGAAGAGACTGAAAAGTTTCATAATTTCAATTTCTTTGGTTAGTCATTATCACCCTGCTGAGCTGCACTGTCCAGAAATTACTACAAATTACAAATGGGAAGAACAAAAAGAGAGAGAAAGCATAGCGCAGGGAAAAAAATATAACAACACACCAATATTGATGCATTTCTCTAAGTATTTCAATATGAAAAACTATTTGACACAGATACACAGTTTTCTCCTGTTTCCTGAAAAACAATAGGGAAAGTAGAACCTTCTCTGCATTTGTTATCTTCAAGGCAATGCCAACAACTGGAGTTAAACACCACTAAGCAGAGAAACAGCATCCCTTAGCTTACATTAAACGGATGTGATTCTTACTGTTTCCTTTTCTCCTACCTCATTAAGAGAGCTACTAGGTGACGAGGCAGCAAAATATCAGTGTCCACACAGCTGGATACATAAGCCATGTCTAGAGGATTCCTCTCAGGCAGAGAAAAAATAAAATCACAAAAAGAAGGTACCCTGCAAAAGTTTCTATCTCCCACTTTCTCTCAGTCAAAGGCAGCCTCTCATCCCTAGAGGGCACCCGATGAACACAGCTCAGGGGCACCAAGCACCTTTCCCACAGGCTGCAGGATTCATCACCTTTATCCAGTTCCTCCCTTCTCTCTGTAACTGCACTTCCATGCAGGTTGTGACTGAAAAGATTTGGGGTCATTCTGGCTCCTTTTTTTTTGTTCAGTTCTTGATATACACAGACTCAGACAGCTTCCATAAATTCCCCCTGAGCTGCCAAATTTCGGGACAGCCATTTGCACCTCTTTCAAGTAAAGCCCCTTACCTTATGATGACAAACATCACCAGAGAGTTTCCCACCAAGCCAACAACGAAGACCACCGAGTAGACAGCGGTGATGATGATGGGAATGGAAGGGGAGATGCTGGTGTAGTTGTGCTGGGTGTCCCCAAAGGTCCCAGTGGCATTGCTGTCATAGTCTGCCCAGCCCAGGGGCCAGCTGCTGCTGGTGCTGGGAGGGCGACAGGGCCCCGGCATGCAGGTGGAGTCCAGCTCCTCCCGGAAAATCTGTACAGGGGCATCCATAGAGACCACGGCTCCCACAGACAAGAGAGAGACTGGGAGGAGGCTGCAGGAGAAAGGATGCTAGAAAAGGGAAAAAGAGGGAATGAGACAGAGGTGCTATCGCACTGGATATTAAGAGCTATAAAATTTGTTCCCCTGTTAAGGGGAACACTGCTGTAGCAAGAACTGTAGCTTGCCAAGCAGGGATTTAAATAAACCACATTCAAAATATATAAACATAAGTTTTACATCTCAGTATGTAATAAGTGTTTCTCCTCCAGGTGCATGAGGAAAGTTTCCCTCCACTTTCAGAAATTACAGAGAAACAAATCAGATGGGAAGCAGTTCAGATCCACCCCCACTCTTTAACTCTCTCTTTCCCATCCTCCATCTTTTAAGTCAAACAGCATCCTAGTGACAGGGGCTCCTTGCTCCCTAAACTCTACTATAAACAACGAAAAAAATCTACCACCTCTCTGTATACCTGCTTTGGCATAAGCCCTGCCTTATCTTTTTCTAGATCTCATGCTTGCTTCTAAACAAGAGACAAATTAATGACACGAAATACCTCTCAATCCAGGAGAAGGAGCAGAGTCCTCAGGCAGATATTAACAGGAAAAAAAAAGCATCCACTTGGCTCCTGGGAGTATCACAGATCTTCTAGGACTTTTGAACCCGAGGCACCTGAGCCCTCAGAGATGCATGCTAGCAGCAGAGCTGACTCTTGAGCATGAGCTGTGGCATAGTAGCAGCAGCTGCTGCTGTTCCAGCTCCTACCACTTTACCTTTTCCCTCCCAGGCTCTCTCTGCTTCCCTCTCTCCGTCAGGGCTCCAGCAGCATGCTGCTCTGATGCACGCGTTCTCCTCTGCCTCTGTCCCTGCAGCTCAGAAGCTCACATGACTTCTGCCTCTGCGCTCAGAGGCAGACAAAATAAAAGAAATAACTTCTGCTGTGAGTGGGTGCTTGGTTTTGTACACTTTTCCAAATCAACTTTTCTCATTGCCCTCACACTCCCAGGCCTTAAGCAAAGACCCCCTTTGCCTTCCTGAATTCTGCATGCATTTACAGGCTGGTAGATGCTGAATAAAACAGAATTTTTCAGTTTAGATTTCTTTCCTGACCTGTCAGACTTTTCCTGCCTCAGCTTCACAACTGTGGATCCCAAATGCTTCTCACTGGGTAGCTGTGCTCCACTTCCTTTATGCCTGCAACCTGGAGGAATGCCAGAAGCTGGATCCCACAGCACAGAGAGGCAGGAACATCTGGGAACAGCCTGATTGCTGTCTTTTTCATTCAAACTGTGCCACACTGTGAGAAGCCAAGTATATCCTGCTGTGGTCAGGGATGGAGAGGAGGAGTGTGCAGAAATCAAATTCCTCAGGCTTAATCCCTTAAACACTCCATCCTGTGGGGCTGAAAACACACTAATCTTTGTTTGAAATCCCAAATCCCAACCAGAGTTCCCTGAGTAAGTGGCGTCTCCTTTGGAAGGAGCAGAGAATAGGCCAGGCAGGCTGTGCAGGACAGCAGGTCTCTGCAAGCACCTGCAGGGTGTCATGCCTCTCTGGACATTTTCTGAAGCTCAGATGGTCAGGAAAGGGGTTGTGAGTTTCCTTCATCCTTATGAAACTTTACTCCAAGTTCTTCTGATAGGCTGAGGTTTCCATTTTTAAAACATTTTTTTCTTTCCAAACCTATAATCAAGATGAGAAATGGCATCAGCCATAGACTCAAAAGTCTAGAAGGAGTTTTAAAATGTACAGAATCCCTTTCTGAAAGATCGAGGCTCACGCAAGCATAGTGATGGCCATGACCATGCTCACTGGAAAACATCAGCATCTGCTCACTGTCACCTTCTTGGAGCTGTCTGGAAGTTTCACCCTTGATGAGAACATCAAAAGTGCAAGGCAACAAACACATGACAGTAAATCCCCTCAACCAAATATATTTTAAAGGTGGAAAACTCGCCTGGGACAATAACCGTTACTTGGAAGATAAAGTGAGATCCTAACATAACATACCCCCTGATCCTGTTTTTTCCTTTTGCAATCCATGGGCCCACATAATTGTACCAAAGGGAATTATTACTGCTGCTTCACGTCCTACATAGATTTATTTGGAGACTTTTAACTTCTTGTGAACACCTTCACTGAACTTCTCCACATTCTGTAATTAAAAAACAGGAGAGCCAGAAGAAAGTAATAATTTAGCATTCGTTGCTAAATTCTCTCCTATCAACAATTGTTTGCTGCATTGGTTTTTGTTTGTTTGTTTGCTTTTTGTGGGTGTTTGTTTTGTTGTTGCTTTTTTGGTATTTTTTTTGTAAGTATCTGAAGTGTGAGCACATACAGCTGCAAAATAATTAAGTGAACACTAAGGGTTAGGCTGGAGATACTGAGGAAGAAGCAACAGTTCATCATTCTGCTATTGCTACAGTTGGATCAGAAATGGAGAAGAAAAGCTTACTATTGCTCTCTGCATAAATCCAAAGCAAAGATAATGTGAAAAATTCAGTAAGATTAGTTAATAGCAGACAAAGAATATTCAAGCATCAGGGGCTGGACAGTAAGCTCCTCTTTCTCTAGCTACATTCTGTGCTGAAACTCTTCAGGCATCTTAAAGTCAGCACACACACACACACACTCTATGTGTTTACAGCAACAGTCACTGACCCTTAATGGTGTAAGTATGCATTATATCTGCATGAAGCTGGACTGAGGTGGAGCTCAGCCATGGCACTGCTAGCTGCATGGTGAGGCATATGAGGGGCAACATTTAATCGGCTGGTGCTTTCTGTCTGAATGTGCTCCACTTCAGGGGCTCTATTCTAGCTATTGCTTGTTGCAGGTCTTTACAACTCAGTAGAAAGAAAGCATTAGGAATAAAGAAATGCCTTTTTTCTTCTGCAATTTTAGACAAATTCAGATAAACTGTTACAAATAATATTTCCCTTTTGCATGTTTGCTTTTCTGAGGAAAACTTCAATAGCTGGATTACCAGGAACAACTGGCCTCACTGCATATCCTAGAAACTTCTGCAGTGGTGGCTAAAGGAAGCCTGAGGACAGAGGAAGAACCATGCTCAGTCACACCCCCCCCTCCTCCAGCAAATAACTGTTCGGTTGCCACTGGGCCTTTCCAATAGTCCTGCAGAAAAGGACAGGAGTGCCCCGAAGTCACAAAGGAAGGGAAAGAAAGGGTTGGCAGGAGGTCAGCTCAACCAGTCCACACCAAAATTTCTGCCAGAACTTCCTGTTCCCCTGAGGGACTCCATTAGATAAAAGACCTTATTCTTCTCGGGGAAAACAAGGAAAAATCTGGGAAAGGATAAGAGCATAAAAGCACGATATCAAACACACAGCTACAGTCTGTCTCTAGCTCTGATTGTGCACATCTGTGGCTTAAATGCCACAATTTTCTTCTTATTACAACACTATAGATTCAGCATTCAATTCACAGGACTTTAGGAGAAAGAAAAGGAATAAATTGGACTTGTTTTTCATTAAAAACAGAAAACCATACATGAAATTTGATATTTAAGAAACACTATTTAAGTCATGAATGCCAGTCCTCAGAGTTAAAGAAATACCACAGCCAGCTGTCTGATAGCCAGGCAGCAAAACACAGGGGTTCTGTGCCTCATTCTTAGATAAACTACACAATATTGCAACATTTAAGCCAGAGGAAAAAAACATAAACTGGAAATTTTGTAGCTGTGAAGTGTTTTCTTTTACAGTCCTAGTGAAATTATTTGAATGAATAAAGAACACCGAGGGCAGGGATATGTGTGATGTTTAACAATAGCAGGTGGGAAGGGCTTCCACATTGTCTTCAGGTTTTTTATCTCTAAAATCTAAAATCGTTTATTGCTCAAAGAGCCACCACCATCAGCGCAGTGCTTCAAAATCATCATAATGCACTGGAATATTAATGCAGCCCTGACTCAGAGGTAAGAACAAAGCTCAGTGAGTCACTGGCACGACTCGGGGACCACAGCAGCATGCATGGTTTTAGGTGCCATGTGAAAGTTGCTGAGCTTCCAACACTGTCTCCCTGAAGATCGTGACACATTCCAGGTTTAAGGTGAATTTTCAGAGCAGGGCAGGCCTTGAAATCCAGCTGTGAACTTCGAGATCATGTGAAGAGGCCTCTTTTTTTTCTAAAAATTGTGAGGGCGACAAGATGAGTTAAGTGGAGCAGACTATCAGAATGCTTTTTTTAGTCCATAATTGTTTTTCCTACCTGATTGACCAATGGATACAATCATGGTGAACCCGAACAAAGGGAAGAGATGCTGGAAGAGCTTTTCTGTGGCTCCAGTTGCCAGGGAAACAAAGTTCTCCTGTCTGCATTTATCCAGAAATACCGTCTGGCTGCATAAGCCCACACCTTGGGAAATGTTGCATTTCACCCATCCTTTTCAGAGGCAGAGGAAGGGGAAAAAGAGAGGCAGGAAAGCATAAAGAATGCTTCCTCCTAAACAACTTTCATACCTATATTTTAGTCACAGAGACTGTAAGTATTCAGCATAAGATTCATAGTTCAGTTCTTAATTGCAGATGGCAGAAATTTGTGACCCCTTGGACATCTTCCTTTTGTTTTGCTTAATCAAGGTCCCTAACTGGAAGTTTTCTGTCTTCCTGCTTGTCCAGAGCAGGCTGCACCTGTGTTTCTCTTCTTAAGAAATAACTGTAGTATTTCATGCATGTCTGTACTTCAGTTCCTACTTCAAAATTAAAAATAAAATAAACCCCCTAAATCTTAAAGTCTATCTAATTGTTTATGCAATGATCGTTCACAATTAGACCTCCTATGTGTAGATCACTATCAGTTAATCATTTGGCATGTTGAAGCGTTGGTAGCTGGCACACAGTTCTGTGAAGGGAATGAGGATCAGCCAACGCAACCCAGACTTCGGCTGCAAGGCATGAGAAGCTCTTGATGCCATTGATAAGCTTTATGGGAATAAGCAGAAGTCACTAAGATTAAACTGGTGGTTTTTTGCGGATGATGCCATTGGA